TATTTTATCTGTACACATGTATTGCCTGCATGTAAGTAAGTGCACCCGTGTTGTGCAATGCCAGCGGAAGACAGAAGAAACCATCAGATCCCCTGGAACTGGAGTTATGGACAGTTGTTAGCTGCCATGTGGGTGCTGGGATTTGAATCCGGGTCTTCTGCAAGAACAACCAGTGTTCTTAACTGCTGAGCCATCTCTCCAGTCCCAGCAAAGCTCAGGTTTTATAATCTGAGGCTAGGAAAATAAAGCAGAACTTCCTCCCGCTAAAATAATGCCAGCCAAATCAGAGCAAACTAATAAAAGCTAGGGCTGAATTTATGTATATATTGGTTATCTACTGTAGCTTATTTAAGAAAACAGCCTCAAGTGTATGTAAAGATCTAGGTCTTATGGTGTTAAACCAGAGCTATACGCTCAGGTTTTATAATCTGAGGCTAGGAAAATAAAGCAGAACTTCCTCCCGCTAAAATAATGCCAGCCAAATCAGAGCAAACTAATAAAAGCTAGGGCTGAATTTATGTATATATTGGTTATCTACTGTAGCTTATTTAAGAAAACAGCCTCAAGTGTATGTAAAGATCTAGGTCTTATGGTGTTAAACCAGAGCTATACTCTCATCAGACTAAGTTTAAAGTTGTCACTGGCTATAGTTCAACACAATTCTGTTATTTCATTTAGGATTGAATTAAGACAGAATCTACAAATCACCAAGAGTACTTCACAATGAAAAGAGATTTCTAACAATCCAATTTTAAAATACAAATTATCAAACATACTTATTTCCACAGAGATATTAAGTGATCATCACAGATACAGAAGCTAGCAAAAAACTAAGCCTATCTGAGGTATTTCTGCTTACATTTTAGAGCAAATCTCAATGGCTTATGTATCAGTTGATCTAAAAGTGTTAGTTGGTCCAGATAAGGTATGAATTTTGTATTACAAAAATGACTAATAGTTAAATACGGTCAAATACAGGTATTGATTAGGAAACTGAAACTTCAAAAATAGCTTCACAAATGTTGCACTGCAAGGCTTATTTTGCTTAGTTAAACAAGGTAAACCTAGTCATATTTTCTCAGGAAGAAAGGTTGTAGAGGTTAAAACTGATGGGAAGAATATTGATCAGAGTATCTAGTAATGAACAACTCATGTGTTTCTCCTTTATCCCCTGGCCCACCCTTATTTTTCTAAAACAAAGTTTGTCATGTAGCTGAGGCTGGCTTTGATACTTAAAAAATAAAAAGTACCTAACAAATTACACCAAATATAGTAGAATCAATTAAAGATTGATAGTGACCACAAGAACTTAGAAGACATTAAGGTAATAAACAATTTCTTTAGCAATTCCACTTCTGTACCAAAAGCCTCTAGATGGCACTAGTCTTTAGTGATATATTTAAAGAAGTCTATACATGATAGAAATATTCAAAAGGAACTTTGTTCCAACTTTTCCTAATAGATCCAGCTCTGTGATCATTTTAAACAAGGCATATCTATGCTTTACAATGGTAA